CCATTAAAGCACAACTAACATTCATTAAAGTCCAATAGAACCGTTAAAGACCAATACGATCCATTAAAGCACAACTAACATTCGTTAAAGCCCAATAGAACCGTTGAAGCCCAATATGATCCATTAAATCTCAACTAACATCCGTTAAAGCCCAATACGATCCATCAAATCTCAACTAACATTCATTAAAATCCAATATAACCGTTAAAACACAATACGATCCATTAACACCCAACTAACACTCATTAAAGCCCAATAGAACCGTTAAAGTCCAATACGATCCATTATTTAAAGAAAATTTTGAAAAATGAGAAAAAAAAATAATTCCGCCAGAAAATGTTAAAATTCCGCCGAAAATCTTGTAATACCCGGATTTTAAAAACATTATCGTTAACTTATCCAAATTGTACCGTACTTATATAACGGTCGATAATTGTTAAAGGGTTAAAACCGTCAAATTACTAAACTTATTATAATTATAATATATATATATATATATATAGTATATATATGTAAAGTAAATTAAAAAAAGAATCAAACCATCGCTGCTTCTTCTGATCTTCTTCACCGTCTCTCATCTCTCTCTCTAAAAATTTTCATCTCTCTAAGATATCTCTCAAACTGTTGAAGCAATCGAAGTAACGATTATATATTCGGAATCCGCTCTTCGAACCCTTCATAAAGGTATAAATTTCATTCGCTTTTATTAGGATGTTTACGTTAGCCTTTTTTAGACCGGTTTATAAATGATGTTATGTCTAAGTTTACGGATAGATATTGTTATAAGTATGATATATTTCATGTTTAGAATACTAGGATTGGTTAAATTGATGTAGARATTAAAAGGGTAWAYTATGGTTTCATTATGGTGAGATTTGGTGTATATGTTTAACGACACACCAATTATTCGATATAATGCCGAAAAGGATAAAATTGCATGATTAAGCTTARGGTAGCGATCATTGGAGTTATTTTGCTGTTTAGTATGTTGAAGTATGTTAATATMACGTAAATGTAGCGAATCATGGAAATTGGATTATAAAAATTAGTCGGGAATTGCGGAATCRGATTTTACCGACTATGCAGGTCCATACTTTGACAGTGTATAACTTACAAACCGTAAGTCGAAATAAGCTCATATTTTGCAGTTAAAAAGACCTTAATGAATACTACAACTTTCATGTAGGATCGAAAATCCAGTTATAAATATAAGTGGCTCGAAACAGTGTGTTTTCGGGGCTGTTTGCAATGTATTTAGGATTGATCTGCTGTTTTATAATATTCGTATAAAATAGATGGATAATCCAAATAAGGTGATTCGAAAACCAGTAGTTTTATCGCATATTATACTACATCTTTCATTTAGATAGTATTTTCTGTATTGATCTCTATGTGGGGTAAAAATGCTCCCGAAAATGAAGGTCAAAAGCTGTTAAAGTCGAATCGGAATTATATAAAGCCAAGTGTTGCGTAGATTTCGTAATACATATTCGGCTGTCGTATTTGAAGTTTAAGTTGTTTATAAACATGTAAGACCTAAGTGGTTTATTAGTAGAATTAAGATATGATCTTACGTTGTTTAAGTAATAACCGATTTGCGCATTCGTTAGGCACGCGAGCAAGTCGAACTTTACCGTGAATCCCGTTTGATCGTGCTTTACTTCTCTATTCTGTTTAAGGTACGGATTTCACTTTCTTTGACTCTTGGGCAACTAGTTGTTGTAGTTGACCCTTCGTAACGGTGGTTCACCACTTTGTGATTGATCGCTTAAAAGTGGTCAATAAATTACGTACTTATAAATTATATATATATATATATATATAAACTCTTGAACCTTTATCGCAAACTCTTGAATCTTTATCGTGAACACTTGATTTTCAGTTCGTTGAATTATATATATAAATCTTTCAATTTTGTTAAATTAAATGTCATATTTTGAAGTAGTTTCGAGTTTTATGAAGTACTTTGAATGTTGACTTTTTATGAACGCCATTCGGGTAGTGGCACGTGTTTAGTTTTTATTGGTTTTCAGAACAACCCAATTAATGGGCGCATTATTTGGGATGCCTTCTATGGCGGCTTTGTAGTCATGGCGTCCTGCAGGTGAACTCGGTCCACAAGGTTAGGCCCAATAGTTGCTTACGTGAACCCACCTTGTGGACTAGGCCGATTTTATTGGCTCCAGGGCGGATGGATYGATCCTAGGATTACCCACCATGTGACCGTGGTTAAATTCACGGGGGACTCGGGGTGTGTGCCCGCACCCCGGCCCGATAGTTCGTGTGGTTTGGCCACCCCACGATCATTACAGGAATTGACGGATTGTGTTTAAATGATGTTTTGAAATGAGAACTGTGAAACGTCTTGATTTTCTATCAATTCAGTTTCATTGATTTTTAAGTCTTTCGCTTTATTATCGATGTTACGTGTTATTATTTCAAGTTTATATTACAATCTGTTCACTGAGCCCGTGCTCAGCCGTGTTCTTGTTTCTTGACACGACATGTTCCAAGTGATTTTGATAAGGGACGGGACTTGAGATCGAGCGTTAGATTTTTTTGGAGTTTGTAAACTCRTTGGTAGATGTATAATATTCTAAGCTTATAAATAGTTGTTAGAATGTAATATTTTGGATTGTAAAGCATGTTTTAGAAGTTAATCTACGTTTGGAGTTTATTAGTAGCTCTGCAATGTTTGTGTCTTTGAATTAAGTCCCGTTAGTGACACCGCCCGTTCCGGATCACGTGGACGGGGGATGTTACAAATGTGGTATCAGAGCATAGGTTTTGACTTGTAGATAAAGTAAGCTTGACCTGTGAGAAATGGGTAGACATAAGAACGGGTATACTAGATTCTAATTCTATCTACCGTTTTTATAATTCATAACTGTTTTGAATTCTGATTTTCATGTTGTTTTATTTTAGAATGTCGAGACGTGGTCGCCCACGCAAATCCAGATCTTAAGCTGAGGGTAACCCAAACCCCAAGCCCAACCCAATGGAGGGTGGAAATGAACCCAATATTGCTGATGTGGTTCGTCAGACCATGTCAAGTATGATGCCTACATATCTGTAGCAAGCTATTCAGGCTATGCAACAAGCAGCGGAAGATCTTCCTTCAAACCCAAATCCTGTTCCTACACCAAATATTGGAATTCCTGCATCCAGTTCGGGTAACCCAACGGGTGAAATATATATATGGCTTGAAAGGTTTAACAAACAAAAACCTCAGTCTTTCTCAATTGCCATAGATTCTGTGGATGCCGAACATTGGATTCGACACATAGAAAAGATTTTAATGTCTTAGAGGTTCCAAATCAGTATCGGGTCCGTTTGACTACTTATATGTTTGAGAAAGAAGCCAATAACTGGTGGGAATCTTGTATCCAAACTGATCCATCTATTAAAGACTTGTCTTGGGATAATTTCAAATAATTTTTCTTCAAGCAATACTTTACCTCGGCTGATCGCGATGCCTATGTGCGGGAATATGCTACTATCCAACAAGGCGAGGAAGAAATAATTGCCGACTACATGGCGCGGTTTCTTAAATTTTCTCGTTTTGCAGGAAAAACTGCAGGCTGACAAATTTAAATGGACTTTGAACTCGAGGTATAAAGATCGCCTCTTGAATCATCCTTTTCATACCGTTATTGAAGTGGCCGACGCAACAAAAAATATTGATCGGTCACGACAACAATGGCTAACTTCACGCGTTGACAATAAGAAACGCGGATCTGAATCTTTCT